TAAGCTCACATCTAGAAAAGTGTTGTCTCTCAATGATGTCCTATATATGCCTGATGTCAGAGCAAATTTGATTTTTGTGGCTCTACTATAGAAGGCTAGGGTTAAAGTGTCATTTGAATTTGATAAGATTGTAATAATAGAAAATAATGTATTTGTGGGAAAGGGCTATTATAACCAGGGACTATTTATGCTGAATGTTGTTGATGAAATGAATAAGAATGCATCCTCTTCTGATTATTTTTATATTTATATGGTTGATTCATTTGATTTACAGCATTCTAGGTAAGGTCAAGTTAGTAAAGGTTATATGATAAAAATGCAACATCTTGGATTAATTTCTAAAATTAAAGATAATGATTTAAATAAGTGTGAAGTATGTGCAGAAACTAAGTAAATTAAAAAATTTTATTTTTCTACTCAAAGAGAAACCGAGTTATTATCTTTGATACACATTGATTTGGGAGATTTAAAACAAACAATGACTGGAGGAGGTTAGAATTATTATATTACTATTATCGATGATTTTTCAAGATATACCAAAGTATATTTATTAAGAAATAAAGATAAAGCTTTTGAAAAATTTCTTTTATATAAAACAAAGGTAGAAAATTAGTTAAATAGAAAAATTAAAAGAGTAGGTCTAAGAGAGGAGGGGAGTATATTTTATTAAATGATTTTTTGTGAAAAAGAAGGTATTATTCATGAAGTAACTCCTCCTTACTCACTTGAGTCTAATGTGTTGTGGAAAGGAAAAATAAAACCTTAAAAGAAATGATGAACACTATGCTTGTAAGTTCTTCTACATTGGATAATTTATGGGGTGAAGCATTATTATCTGCTTTTTTCTTTTTACAAAATAGAATCTTGATAAGAAGTTGAATAAAACTCCTTATGAGCTTTGGAAAGATTTTTCTCCAAATCTTAATTATTTGAAAGTGTGGGGATGTCTTGCAAAAATTTTACTACCTTACCCTAAAAAGAAAAAATTGGGTTCTAAAACTTCTGATTGTATGTTTATTGATTATGCTGAATACAATGCTACTTATGGATTTCTAGTTTTGAAAAGTGATATTCTGAATTATAATACTATTATAGAGACTAAAGATGTAAAGTTTTTTGAAAGTATTTTTCCTTTAAAGGAATAACTTTTACCTCAAAAGAGGAGAAAATTTTCCTTCTTATAAACAAATTTGAAATGAAAATTTAAGTGAAGGTTTAAGAAGTAAAAGGTAAAGAAAGGAAAATACTTTTGGAGATGATTTTTATACTTATTTGATATAAAATGAATCACATAATTTTATGAGGCCATTTCTTCTCCTAATGCTCATCTTTGGAAAGAAGATATAAAAGCTGAAATTAATTCTCTTAATCATCATAAAACTTGGGTTTTGATATATTTAACTCCAGGTGTGAAACCTATTGAGCGTAAATGAGTTTTTTAAAAAAAAATTTGATGATTCTATTGATAAATTCAAAGCAAGGTTGGTTGTAAAGGTTTTACACAAAAAAAATGTTGATTATTTTGACATCTTTTCTCCAATAACAAGAATTTCTTCTATAAAAATTCTCATTGCTCTGGCTTCAGTTTACAAGTTATTTATTCACCAAAAGATGTTAAAACTGCATTTTTAAATGGTGATTTAGAAGAAGAGATATATATGGTGCAACCTGAAGGTAAACTGGTTAAGAAAATAAAACTTATAAACTGGTTAAATCTTTGTATGACTTGAAACTAGCTCCTAAACAATGACATGAAAAATTAGATCATGTTTTGATAAGTGATGGTTTTTAAACTGTTGAAGTGGAAAAGTGTGCTTATACAAAATTTATAAATAATGATTGTATGATTACTTGTCTTCATGTGGATGACATGCTTATTTTTGGTACAATCATGATTACTGTTTTTGAAACTAAATGCTCTCTTTCATCAAATTTTTAGTATGAAAGATATAAGGCCAAATTCAGGGTTAGTTAATAGCTAAAATTGAGATTTCACTCAACACTGCCCAAATATAAAGATATCAAGCTTTAGAAAAATATGAGCAAGTGAGAAAAAAATTCAACTACCACAAAAATGATATTGGTAATCAAAATGATCAAATTAAAGTACAAAACAAGGGGAAAAGTTAAACTAAAAAAAAAAAGGCAAACACTAATCTTCCTAATTCAACTAGTTAACACAATTGACTTCCCAACAACGATACCAAAATTTTAACACTACTGTCAAATAACACCAAAATTAATAAAATTAAATTTTACAGTAAAGCGCAATCTAGATCATTTTCCTAAGAGTCTATAAATTAATTATTTAAATTAGAATTATAAAAGATAAATAGTGGGTGAATTTTTTATGATGAAATTAATTTTTTAAAAAACTAAATTAAAATTAAATAAATAAAGGAAAGTCAACTAAGAAAATTATCAAGAACAAATAACACAATTAATCGCAACCTAATTACTAAACTTAATTTTCCTTATCCACAAAATAAATTAATTTTATTTAAATTTATTATTTTAGATTTATTATATATTTTCCAAATTATTATTCAATAATTAAATAAAAAATTAAGTTATAGATTGAAATCTTACTTAATCCACAATCTAACAGCTGTTTCTATATTAATCATATTAGAAACAAAATGAATAATCATCCAAGCCAGGCCAAATCACTTATGTTACTATATCAATCGATTATAACGAGCAAAATCTCAAATAAAATTTATAATTCAAAAATCATGCAATAAAATTATTCTAATCAATAATAGTAATTAAATCATAAAATTTAAATATAAAAAGAAGAAAAGTAAATTGAAATAAATTAAAATAAATCTTTCCTAAATATTAAATACTCTAATTTAAATTTAAGATTATAATTTATAATTGATCACATTAAAAATTTAACTCTTCATATAATTAAAATTGAACTACACTACATATTAAAATGAGAAACCATCGCCCAAGAAATTGAAAGAAAAGACGAATAGCGCTCGCCACAGCTCCTTCGTTCCTTCTCATCTCAATTCTGCCACCACTCAATTTCTTTTCCTCCCGTCCTTTAATATATATATATATATATATATATATATAAACATGCGTCACCTCAAAGGAACAAAACCTAATAATTTAATGAAAATGACAAAACTATTTAAATAACCCCAAATAAAAACTACACTAAAAAACTCAAAATAATTATAAACAAAATTTTAAAGATTTAATTCTTGACTTTACTTCGAGTATGCCTATATTCTTTTATCCAAAATAATCTCCATTAATATTATTCAAATTAAATCTAGAAGAGCTACACAAATAAAATAAAATTAAATAACAATTATACAAAAATATTAAAGACATCATTTATATTTTAAAATAAAAAATTTATATAGTTAAAATTTAAAAGTTGAAGATTAGCTAATAAAATCAAATAATATCCAATTAAACTCAACTAATATCAAAAAAATATTTAAAAGTCTAAATTAAAAAGATAAAAATATATAAAATTGCCATTTATCACCTTTTGTTTTAAGAGGGAACAAGTTATATAGAATATAATCAAGCAATAAATTCTTATTGAAAATATGCAATGAATATGCTTAACAGGAAAAATACTGATTATAAGACGATCTTAAGAAGGTAGGGCTGTTTTTCTTTCAACAAATGTATCTACAGCAGCCAATAGGAGTCGGTCCAAGTGATAAGCGACTCAGTTTCACTTAAATAAGGTCTCAGGTTCAAGCCTTGTGTGTGTAAAAAATTCCCGCTGGGAGACTGACCCACCAAAGCTAGGTGTGCAGGCAACAAAAAAAAAGCATCCGCAGTAGCTATAAGCTTTTGAAATCTAATATCTTATACAAAACCCGTCTTTTAAAGCTGTTCAAATTCCATCGGCTCCTCTCTCATTAGCTTATCCTGAATGAACAGGACCAATTACGATGAATAGTGATGGCTTGGCATTTGGCTAACAAAACTTGGGCGCACATTATTTAAGTTTCCCTCCCATCACTCAGACCCCTTCATTCCCGCTTCTTCGGATTCCTTTTGAGTTTTGAATATCTTTCAATAAATACCTACAGCACATCATTATTCATCGTAGTGCATATGGAGCTGTCCTACTTTTAAAGTTGTCCTACTTTTGTTTGGCATAAGCTTCATTACTCACAATCTATATGCTCATTCCATGGTTGATCCAGCACGACCTTCTTTTGTATCTGGTCGAAGGCAGTTGTCTTTCATGAGGCAACGATCCGAATGAACTGAGTATCCTCGTGAAGCCATATTCTCTTTGATATTCTGCCATTGTTTAGTTACTTTGAGATTTCTCTTTTACTTCTTATTCACTAGGTGGTTATTCACTCTATATGCCCTCATGTTCTATCATATGTTGTCTTCTGCAGGCTGTTGATGGACACCTTTATCAGAGGGCCAAGGATGTTATAAACCAGCTTATGTATTCATTTTGGGCATGGAAGGCAGAATTTTATTTTATTTCAATGTAACCATAATCAATTGTAGTTATACTGGCAACTTTATTTTAGTATTTATTTTTTGTTTTATGTAGTAGTATTTTTAATGGAGTGAAATTGTTAGTTTAGCTCATGTAAGAAGTGAGTTAAATATTTGTGTCAGTTCAATATTTGTCTCATGATTATGGCACTAATAATGTGAAATATTTTAAATATTTGTGTCAAGTTAAAGGTGTTTCCTTTTTGTTGCGGATAGGTAGATTTATACTGGGTCTTCTATCATGATTAGTCTTTGTCATCACATTACCTTTTTTTATTAGAGTCAAGTCATTGGGTCCTACATAGAAGAGAATTCAATTGAATTGGAATGTAATCTTCCATCCGCATGCATTTTTTGTCTCGATGCAAGTGATGGCATTAACAGCACGTTTGGATTTCAACATTTCCTTTTTCAATGGGCATCAGTAATGTCATGGAAGACTTTCCTTCTAAAGTCTATGTGTGAGCTCCTTTTGGTTTTCTGCCATCGTGTCTGTCTGTCTGCTGCTGCATTTCTACTGTTCATTTGTAATTAAAGCCTGACATTTTATTTAACTCTCAACCTTTCATTTCACACATCACTGACACTTTCGTCCATTGAAGCCATATCTTTTCATTAATGAATATTTTTCGTCAACTTTTTTGGTAATTTCTGGAATGTAGGTTATTAATGTAGTTGCTCCATCTGCCTTCGACAACACATATATCACCGCCCTCCGTCATGTGCCAGAAAGGATTTCATAGAGGTAGGACAGCATAATCATCTGTTCTGTGCAAATTCGACCAGTGAGAAATAGATTTCTCCAGTCAATCTTGTCCAGATGCCTTCAATATCAGATCGTGTTACTCTTTTCACTGAGGCCTCCATGGCATCAACTGGATTCCTTTGTCTAAACAAACTCCAGCCTGAAGTTGATGGTTGTTGGATATGCGTCCGGGTTGTTCGTGTCTTCCTCTACACTTATAACATTTCTGGCCATACTTGGTATGGTTCACTGCAGAAGATTAGATCTTTCGACTTTGTCATAGTCGACCATCGAGTAAGGGCTTCCTTATTCTGCACTTTTATTTTTCATCGCATGGTCAGTTCTCTTTTTATGCCCATTTAGTGTAACGTTGATGTTTTATCTCTGATAGGGAGCAAGGATGCGCACAACTCTAACAACTGAACGCCTTATCGATAGGTGGTCGTCTGTCATTAAAGAAGGGCATTGTTATATGATGACAAACGTTCAGGCCGTTCTTTAGGGCGACGAGTTCCATGCAAAATTGCAAGTCCGCTTTTCATCCAAGACAGAAATTGAAGAGTGCTATCTGCCCCTTCTCAGGGTTTGCTTTCAATTCATGAACATAGCTTCTTTGAAACTAAGCCTCGTGCTTGAAAGGCAATGCTTTGGTAGAGTCCGTACCCTCTGTATGTTTATTTTTTCAGTACTGTAATTGAATATCCCATTGTGTTGATCTTTTCTTTACTCCCAGATGTGTACGGCAAGGTTGTAGAGATATCTGACTTGACCAATGTTTGGCTTGGTGGAGATCTTACTAATCATTTGTCCATCGTCATTGAAAGCGTAGAGTATTGGCAACCTCTGGAGAATTTTTTGCATGATAGTCTCTATTATGTGCACACTTTTTATTTCATGAATAACCCCTTCTGTTTATGTCTAGGCTTGAGAAGATAACATGTCTTTTGTATGGGAAAGCTATAGTGTTGGCAGCAAGAGACTATATCAACTATACTGGGGTTATTGATTTAGTTGTCATTATCTTATATGTTGTTGAGGATCTTTGTGCAGGTTATGTTACATCATATCCATATAGTGTTATATAAGATTTAAGTGTTGGGTTTTGTCTAAGTTTTCTTTTTCATGTTATGTTATAGGTATCCCCATTGTCACCAATTTCTCCACTGCCATGACAATCATTTTTGACCTCGACATGTCTGAATTTGGTCAATTAAAGCGAAACCTCCTCTCCACTGCTTTGAGCACTACTAATTGAGTTGACGCATGTGTTAATGTATTTGCTATGTGCTAGACCCAAGTTTCTCATCTCATTTAGTGCTGTTTGACTCTTTAATCCATAGTTTGATCTGATGTGTTTTATTTTACATGTGATGGCTAATGGCTTGTAACTTTACACCCACACTTTAATGGGGGTGTATAGTATAATCTCTGTGTTATTAGGATGATGCCTAATTTTGAAGCTGTTCTCCTTTAATGTTATTCTAATATGACTTCAGTGTCATATCCTTTTTTTTCCATGCATTACACTTTTCGTCGATTCCTCTAAATTTTCTTGCATTTTATTTCATAGATTTGAAGACTATTAGTTACACCATGCCAGACTTTTTTGACATCTACATGTGGAGTAGTAAATTATTTCTAATGTGAAAAGCGAACATGACTCGTAAACTCAATAGTCTCAGGAATGTCAAATATTCCTATCCATCAAAGTTAGAGCAATACGGTGTTTGAAGGATAGAACAAATAATGTTCTATGTTATTTGATCTTTGTCTTTAGACCCAAAATGGACCATAATCGATAGTCAGACCCAAAATGCTCATATTATCAGTGTTTAACATCCCATGACTGAAACCAACCCCCTCCTACCTTGCAATCAAGGAAGCAGTATGCTGAGCAACCTCCACAGCCTATGCTGATATAAAGTTCCATTAAAAAAAAGTTATAATCACTAATGAGCATTTATTTGAAAGACAAAAGAACTCAAACAAAAACAAAAACAAAAGCTAGGTAGAACAATCACTGTTCATAAGAATATATTCTAATATCCAAAGAGTGTATATGCAACTTCTTTAACTCACATATTACACAATAATATGACTGTTATCTTGGAGGGGCAATATAACTGAAGTTGAAGAAAATGAATTAAGCTCTAAAACAGATAATACAAACCCCTCACAGTTTGTTGCTGTGCAAATTTGCATGCCCTTAAGTCTAATTACAGAGTATGCCTATCACTAGATATTGAATATCATGCGGGGAGAGAGTAAACAAGAAAGAAAAGCACACACTCAACCATAAAATCTCTACATAATTACTTATGATTGCCACAACATCACATAAGCTGATCTTTCAAATGCAGTTTGAAAAACCTCAAGTTAAAATTTTTTTTCATATTGTCTTTGTTCATGTCACCACATGGTAGTTACAATGATATTTTTCTCTAGGTTTATTTGTCATCACGAAATCATTAACTCATCTTCATAAGCACAGCATTTGAGTTAATGTTAGAGCATCCCTACTCTATACAAATCTATCTCTTCTTTTATTGTTACAAAATTCTTTTCCCAATTGCATTAAACACTTCGGTAAATTGACCAATCCTTACCAGGTAGGCACCAAAAGTATAATCTGTGATAGAAGTTATTAAATGCTTCAATAATACCTAATAGTACTTCAGTGTCCTCCTAATAATGTGAAACATGTTAGATGCAAGAGTGGAAGAGGAGGCAAATGATAATTTTACAGCTTGATCAGCATTAAACAGCGTCGCCTCGCCGTTTCTTTACTGTCATAGCGCCTCCAATGTATAGACAAGCAGCTAATTGCTGTAAAATCTGCTTCATCAATGGGTGGCAAAAGGGATATTTTTATGTCAGCAATAAGGCCATCCCATTTCATATTTTCTCCACGTGCATTTAAGTCATTCTTGAGTGCCATATAAATGAAGCCTGTTTAGTTGCTGACATTTGTCAGTTTTGTCCATTAATAAGAAGCTGTAAGACGGTGATTTGTCAGTATGCAGGTGGTTTAAAGTTGGTGCCAAATTTGGCGCCCACTTTTCCCTCCCCCACCAATTGTGATAATTTTTATTTGGATGATGTCATCACCATTTAATAATGTGTTCTTACTGTATATTCAATAGAATTAGACTATAAATTAGATATTAGTCTTGCATATTTTATTAATACACACGTTATCTAACATTTATTTCTTATAAAAACTTAGGATCATTATGTTCAAACACATTACGAAAGCAAACGAATCAATCCATCATGTATGTTATAAATAAGGACATCTATTGAAAACATTTCACTCATCTAATGACTTTTTTTCCTTCACTTCAACTGCATTACATGTTATCCTGATTCTCTTAGCTTCTACATCCCAATATCTATTAAGAACGATGGACTATGAACTAATCAAAGATATTGACTACACGAAGGAGGCATCAGCTATTGTTGTTCATGTTCTTAGTAAGTGGACTCAACTTCACCGTGATCCTCCCCATGACTCGGTGTCAATTGTAATGATATTAATGGATGAAGAGGTATGTTATTGATTATATCTCGTGCCTCATGGAGCATTTATCTTCTGTAATTATTGCTGATGTCTCACGATCATGTCATATTGTGTTCTTCTTTCAAAGTCATCTATTATTGAAGCTGATATCGGCAACAAGGCCTTGCATGAGCAATTCAAGAATGAACTAGCTAAAGGAGGAGTTTATTTCATCGAGAACTTCACAGTCTCTCGTAACAAGTAGAATTATAGGCCAACAAAGCATCCATAGAAGCTAACTTTCCATGTTAATACATTCATTAAACCCTGTGATGCAGTAATACCACAAGACCACTTTGACATTGTCCCAATTGAGAGGCTCTTGGATGATTTAAATTGCAAAACACTTAAGACAAATGTTCTCATTGGCAAGTATCAATGACTAATCTCGCAATAGACCATCCTTGATATTTGTTACTCTTACATGTTGGTTTTCACTTTGCCAAGTCACTTTCTCATTGTACTTGTCTTAGATATCATTAGCTTCCTAAAATCCTTTGGATCACTTGAAGAATATCAGACACAAAGTGGACCGCAAAGTAGGCTTACCTTGACAATAGCAGACGAAGAGTAATCCCCTCAAAAAAAATTATGTTCTTTTTTGGTCATGCTGGTTTTTTTTTTACACCACGAGTTTGACCAGTCCTAGCTCTCTCATGCAGGGATAGGACTATTAATTGCTTGCTTTGGGGAGATGTAGTTGCTAATGCTTATTGGAGTAAGCAGGATGATATAGAGCCACCAATAATCATAGCCATTCAATTTGCACGAATAGATATCAAGGATGGTACGTGAAGTTCCTCATATATGGATTGCTATGTATATAATCCTTATCATCCAATAACTAATTATGGCAAATGTGATCATATTTTGTAGGTAACATCCAGATCAGCAACACATATAATGCCACTAAAGTCTCATATAATCCAGATATACCTCAAGCGAAACAATTGCTTGACAGGTAAGCGGTCATTTTTTGTGTATCTCATAGTTAGCATTCCTGAAGCAAATAGTCCTTTTTCTTGGGCATTCCTGCATGTAATATACCTTATTTGTTAATTGTTAATACAAGTTTCATTATTAATTCTTAATTATTTAAAATTTGTTGTATTTTTAAGATTTAACTTTTTCATTTTGTTAGTCCCTATAGAAATATTAATTTATTCATTCATTTGTCACTTTCAAATCTGTGTAGATAAATTAATAAAATTTAATATTTACTATTTAACTAATCTTTCACTACAATATTTTGACATTAAATATTAAATTATAATTTATTTAATAATAAATAATTTCATGAAAAAGTTAATAACTGTCCGAATTATGAAATTGCATTTACCAATTGTTACAAAAAAATTATATTTTTTAAATAAATTCTTTTACAGAATACTTTAATTTAATTCAGTTAGTAACTATTATTTTACATGTTGCGTTGACTAATATGTTCAGGCTGCATCGGACTCCCATCTCACATCCTCGGAGTTTTACCCAGATCATTGCACAGGACACAAGACTCTCCTCTGTTCGTTCAATAATAGATTTGGCAAAAAGAATTCATATATCAGAGATTATTCCTTCCCAACAAGTGTGAACTTCAATTACCAAATATTTATAATTGTCTATTTTGTTTTATTTGCCTATTATCTAATATTTGTCTACAACAACTATCACGCACTCACAGGAGATAGAATTTGGTACTAAGGGAACAATCTACAAGTTACAAACTGCCAATGGTTGGACATATGATGGTTGCAATTCGTGTAAAACTAAACCAAGAGTTCAAAATGGTCAACTTTATTACGGTGGATGTAAAACATATATAACTGAAATGGGTCCCAAGTAATTTAAAGCTCCTCCTCCATAGTATTCTCTTTATGCACATTACTATTACTAATCCACCATACTTTTCTCAGGTTTAGGGTTCACTACATTGTTGCTGATAACACGGGGGAGATATCTGTTGCTTTCTTTGATAGACACATGACAAAACTTTTAGACACAACTGCTTCAACCCTTAAAGATGTACTGAAACAAGTTCATGGAATATCGAAATGCTTATGCACCCTATCTTTAATACTTTAAAATTGTCATCTTGGCTTATTTTAAAGCTATTCATGACAGGATGATAGACCACAATCATTCCCCAGAGAACTACATAAATTGTTAGGAATGGAAATGCTGCTTAAACTAAAGCTAACAAAGTATAATATACAGTACAGGAACACAAGTCTCGAGGTCTCTCAATTTAGTCGAGATCAGGACGAATTGAAATCGTTTACTTATACAGATAAACAGTTCAGCGATCCATTTTATCAACTTCAGATGCAATCTTTCCTTATATCATTCCTGATTTTTTTTTTCATTGCCAGGTTTTAAAACATAGTGACATGAAGGAGGCTTCACAGACACAAGTAATTCCCTTGTACTTGCATGCATTATGAGTCTCCACTTGCAAACTATTAACCAATGCTTATTATAATTCTACAGTCATGTCAGGTGTCCGACACAGATGCCATGCAAACAACTCTAGATACTTGTCCATCCATGGGTGTCCAAGTAAGGCTTTACCTATCCTAGACCTTAATTCTGATGACTTACCAATTGCAAACCTGTTCAACACACCTGCTTCCAAGGGTAAAAAAAGGGATTCATGTAAGACTTCGACCAATGACGGAGAAGCTGTTGGCATATCAGACATGAAAACTCCAAAGCTCTTGACAACCAAACTTGCCAGAGTTATGAAAAAAGAGAAAGAGACGTAGATCGTTTGCAATTAACCAGTGTCATTATGTCTTGTGCATTTTCTGTTATGAGAATCATTGTTCAAGTTCTTCACAGAATATTATGTTATTGAGTTCTAGAATTCCATGCTTGTTTTTATGTCACTTGTTTGTCAATCATGTTCCTTTTCGAGGAGTTATGATCGTGCAATGACTTTGAAAGTTTCAGTTGCTATCTATTTCATAACCTTTTTGCTTGTATCAACAAAACTAAACTTCCGATGACATCGAGTACTTGTTTATAAATTTGACTTTTGTCTTTGTTACCAAAAGAGATTCAATTTATTTAGTTATTAATTAATAAATTCAAAAATTCATACACAAATGGTTTAACATCTTTTGTACTGACCTAAAAGTTATTAAATAGTCAATTTTTAACTTTCATTATTTATCATGTCAATGACATGATGATTTTGTTTACAATGTATGCTGTTATGCATTCAATTGTTTATTTCCTACATGTGATGAACAAATTTATTTCTTAATCAATTCATGACAACATTAATATATCATTCAAATTTTTTTCATAATTATTACATCAAATAATGCTTAAAGTGACATAACAAGTTAGATCTTGCAAACCATACAAGGATATATTTTTAACGATCAATTCATTAATGCAAATAATCTAAAATGTAGTTCCTCATTTAATATTCTTTATCATTTAACTAGAATTTTATCATCTAATTATTTTGTCTATGAATTAATAATTACATAATAATCACATTAAGAAGCCAAAGCTGACTTCTTCACAGGTACAAAATTAAACATCCATGCATAAATTATGATTTTCATTAATGGTATAATTTGCACTATAATGTGTAAATGACATGGAATGCAATTCATAGTAACTCTAATTTTGAAAGGTGGTGTTCTCTCCAAATATGACATATTTACATATTTTACAGCACATTTGTCAGGATCAATTATGTCATGATAGTGCCTGTCCCCCCTGCCTCAATGTCTAAAAATTGGTTCATGCCTTTTATCTTCCCCCCATGCAACTATTGCCATGTAAACTTTAACAATTATAAAAACATATAAACCCATTGTCCACATTGTCAATACCATCAGTCGCAACATTGAAGGTTCTCCTCCTATCATCCCCGTAAACTTCTTCCTCCATGTCTTCTACAGTCAAGAGCAAAAGGTTCTACCAATTGCAGCATCCCATAGAGTTATGCCTTGAACATTCAATTAGGAAAGCAGAACAATCATTGGTCCACGAGAAAAATATACAAGTTCAACCATCATCAATGCCTATGAGACGTCCATTGCAAGACATTACTAATCACCAAGGTATGCTTTCTTCACAAGAGAATCTATCAAACATCTACCTCTCTAATGACCAAGTTATCAATGTTTTCCCTAACAAATAACTTAATATCCCATGATTTGCAAGGACTCCACTATGAGATACCCATTAGGCCAATTAAAAGTGCAAGATTTCGGAAGCTATCAGAGCAATGTTCTTCGAACACTTGTGGAAGCCAAGGTCTTTTAATATGAGTTTACCTTTCCAAGGAAATGGCCATCTTTTTTGCTTTAGTACTAATTGTCTTTTCTATCTTTATTTTCAACCATCATGTTAGATACCATGACTAACCATACGCAACCGTCAGAAGCCATGCATTCCATGTTGCAAGTAAATAGACAGGAGGAACACCAAAAGAACCAGCAAAGATTCGTGCCAAGAATGTTACACGAAACCTCTATAGTGCATTTGAATTCAAAACAATACAAGGTATGCCATATTCCTACTGCTCCATCCCAGAAATACATGGGTCTCAATTGCTTCCCTAGAAAATATCTTTGATAATTAAGACATGCCCTTTATAACCAATATGTCTTTACTTTGGACTTGTATATTTGAAATCAGGTTCCACGTCATCTGAATTGGACAGTGAAGGAAATGGAAGTAACACAGACAATGAAGATAATACCAACATTCGCACTGATTCTGGTAAATTGACTAATAATAAATGGATCCCATTGATTTATCATAGCTGAACACACCTTGCCTTTTTTATATTTGTCTTCCTCATGGTTATTCCATCATTTAATATTATGTCCCAATGCTAATTCATCATTTGTTCCTAATATTTCTATCACGAAACCCACAGTTTTGGTTTGAAGGCCACCTTAATTCTTTCCGTTGTTGATAGAATGTTAATTTTTTGTTTAAATAATATAAATGCTTGTACATATGGGTTCTTTCTTTTGTTATTTTCTACTACATAGTCAACTAGAAGTAGGAAATTTTCAATGTTATCCTAACACTTTATTTTTCGTTTCTTATTATATTGTTTAATTTATAATTTGTTATCATATTGCTAAAAGTTAGAGCTGTCAATTACGGCAGAGCCTATCGAGTCGGCCCTTATAAGCTCAAAAATAACTAGGGCCAAGCCCCTGCTTTGGAAGGAAAAATGGTTATTCGAGCTTAAAAGAGCTAGCCCTTTTTAAGCCCTTTTACTTTTGTTTAAAAAAATTATATTATAAAAAATTAAAATATTAAATATATAACTAAAAGAAATAAATATATTAGACTGATTCGTCCCTCCTTCATTCATTCATTAAGATTTAGCTAATAATATTATCCAAGTCTAATTTTTATTGATATTAATTTTGATATTACTATTTGATATTAAACCTTCATGTTTAAGTTTTTTTTATTTATTATGGCATAAATTAATTTAAATTTATTTTATTAAACTTAATTTTATGTATAATAACTTTTTTTAGGATTATCAAAATATTTTTTTGAATTTTAAATTGGAACAAAGCTAAAAAAAAGGGTTGAGGCCTTGAGAGTCGGCCCTTCAGCCCTGAGGGCTAGGGCTAAGCCTTATAAAAGAAAACTTTGAAACATAATCAGGCTTATTAGGGCTGGCTCATTTAAGCCTTGGCCCTTTAAGGGCTGGCCTTTTAGGGTTGAACTGGCTCTAATTGATAGCTGTATTAAAAGTAACGATCAAAATTTTATTTGATTTACACTTTCTTTTATAGATTACATAAATGAGGGGGATGCAATTCATGAATGCATTTATTGTCATGGACTGCTATGGTTAAACGAAAGAGTCTGTAGACTCTCTTCTTCCAACCAACCTATTTTCTCTCTCTGTTGTTGTCATGGAAAAATTAAGCTACCACCTATCAAAGACCCTCCTCTTTTGTTTCATAGCTTGTATCTAGAAAAGAAGTCAAAATTGTCAAAGAACTTCCTTTCCAATATCAGGCAATACAATAATATGTTCTCTTTTACATCTATGGGGGGTAAAATACATTACTCAATCAACTCTGGCGGTGGTCCTTATGCATTCATCTTATCTGGCCAAAATTATCATCGTATCAGAAGTTTGCTACCGTCAGAAGGATCAACACCTGTGTACTCCCAGCTTTATATTTATGACAAAGAAATGAAATATCAAATCGTATATTAGCAGTGAGGTAAATTAATTTATATTTGTTATGCAAAATTGGCAAATGATTTCTTTTTCTACTTGAGTTGCCTCATAATCTAATATACACATTACCTAATGAACAGGCAACATGATGCATCGTCAGTTCTTGATCCTCTTATTGTCAATGAAATCAGAGCTTGCTTGGACCAAGTCAACCCCTATGCAAAGAAATATAGGTTGGCTTCTCAAATTTTGAGAACCAATCCACAGATTGATTTGAAATTATGCTTATTAAGAACTGGATCAACTGACAAGAGGACCTACAACTTACCGATCACATCAGAGGTTGCAGCACTAATTGTAGGTGATTTTGATAGCTCATTCTATAAAAGAGACATCATTGTTGAGAAAACCTCCGGCAAACTTAAATGAATTGATGAGCTTCACTATGCATACCTTCCTTTGCAATATCCATTGCTCTTTTTTGATAGCACTGGAGGATATGATTCTAAAGTTGAACACAACTATCAAGTAACAGAACCTCCCCAGAATATAAAAACATTGACCATCAGGGAGTATTTAACATACAAGTTGATGGATAGAACAGATGAGATATCATTGTTACTTCATGCAAAATGGCTCTTGCAATAATTTATTGTTGATGGGTATACTATGATGGAAGCACAATGTCTCGACTACATTAGAAACCATCAAACAGAATTAAGAGTTGATCTTTATCAAGGATTATCCAATGCAATTATGAGAGGAGAAAAAAATGCTTTGTCAACTGGGAAAAGGATCATACTGCCATCTTCTTTTACTAGTGGTGCAAGATACATGATACAAAATTTTCAAGATGCCATGGCCATATGTTGCTGGGCAGGCTATCCAGATATTTTTTTGACTTTCACATGTAATCCTGCATGGCCTGAAATTCAAAGATTCTGCTCCAGTAAGTCTTTAAATGCACCTAATAGACCAGATATTCTATGCCGTGTCTTTAAATTGAAGCTAAAAGCACTATTGAAAGTTGTAAAAGAAAAGCAAATCTTTAGCCCCATCCGTGCAGGTAACGATTCTGAACTTTCAAACTATTTCTATTTATCCCATCCAATTAATGTCTAGCAACCCTTTAGTGACATTATTGAAACTAATTTTTTCCATAAATCATTGCCTTTTTAATACGATCTTTAATCCTTACATAGAAATCTCATGAACTTGCAAAGATATACACAATTGAATTTTAGAAACGTGGATTGCCACATGCTCATATCCTATTATTTCTCGAACATCAATTCAAAATAACAACAACTGAAGATCTTAATGAAAAAATCTCTGCCGAGATCCCAGACAAAGATGAGTATCCTATATTATACGAATTGGTCAAGAATCACATGTTACATGGTCCTTGTGGACATGTAAATAGAAATTCACCTTGCATGAGCGAAGGAAAATGTAGTAAGTTTTTTCCTAAGAAATTTATTGACCATTCAATTATTGATGATAATGGCTTCCCAACTTATAGAAGATGGAATGATGGTCGAACAGTTGAGAAGAAAGGCAGTCAATTTGGATAATCGTTATGTTGTTCCCTACAATCCAACATTGTTAAAGTTATTCCAAGCGCATTTGAATGTTGAAAAAACCAACTAGTCAAGTTCGATCAAATATTTATTCAAATACATTAGCAAGGGTAGTGATCGAGTCATTGCAGGGATTTATGGCAATGATTAAAGGAATCCAGAAGCTTTATTTGATGAGATTAAACATTATTATGACTTCAGGTATATATCTTCTTGTGAAGCAGCTTGGCGAATTTTCTCATTTGAAATTCACCACCGCTTTCCTTCTGTTGAAAGATTAAGTTTCCACCTTCCAAATCAAAACTTAGTAATATACAAAGGGAAACAAAAGGTTAGCAACCTCTTGAACAAACCGAGAGTCAAGGAATCTCAGTTCTTAGCTGGATGAAATGCAATAAATTAGATACTCAGGCAAGAAAACTTACTTACATTGAATTCCCACACAAGTATGCCTTCAATCGCAAGAAGAAGGAATGGACTACAAGAAAAAGAGGTTTTGCTGTTGGCAGGATTACGTCAAGGGAATTATATTATCTTTGAGTTTTGCTAACAAAAGTTAAGGGTCCAATATCATTTGAGCAAATTAAGACCGTGGAAGATACTATGCATCCAACTTTTAAGGCTGCATGTTATATACTTGGCCTTCTAGACGATGATCAAGAGTATATTAATCCTATTATAGAAGCATCATTTTGGGCAAGTGGTCCATACCTACAAAAATTCTTTGTAAGCATGTTGTTATCTCATTGCATCTCTGATCATCAACATGTTTGGGAGAAGACATCAACATTCCTATCTACTGACTTATTTTATATTCCCCAAGCAAACCATACTTTACAAGGTTCGTAGAAAAATACTTGAAAACTTCTACAAATTACTTATCACAGGATTTTAATATCAAGTTTACATAACTTTTTACAGGTAACATTGTGTCACAATCTGATAAGGAAAAAGCTGCTTTGTTAGCAATTGATGACCTTCTTCATTAAAATGGGAAATCTTTATCTGAATTTCCTGGCTTACCTCTACTAGGTAGGACTATTGAAATTAACTTATTCAATCATCTTATAGCCCAAAAGCTTAATTTTGATAGAGGTACTTTACAAGAGCAAGCAAAAATTTAGTCTCTTCCTTAACTGATGAGCAACATTGCATTTTCCAAAAGATTATTAATGCAATTCAATCAAGAAAAGGTGGCTTCTTTTTCATATATGGCTATGGTGGAACAGGAAAAACATTTCTCTGGAACGCTTTGACTTCTGCATTACGCTCAATAGGTCAAATTGTCCTTGCTATTGCAACTAGCGGTATTGCAACCACATTATTGCCATCTGGAAGAACAGCACACTCCCGATTTGCAATCCCTATTGAAATCAATGAAGATTCAATGTGTAATATCAAGCAAAACTCTCCTCTTGTTGAACTTTTATTTAGGACTTCATTAATTATATGGGACGAAGCACCAATGATTAAGCATCATTGTGTTGAAGCATTTGACAGATCGATCAGGGATATCATGCATACAGATGTTGCCTTTAGAGGGAAAGTTATTGTCATGGGTGGTGACTTTAGACAGATCTTACCAGTGATCACTAAGGGAACAAGAGCATATATTATTAATGCCTCAATCAATTCATCTTACTTATGGAATTATTGCCAAGTTTTCACCTTGACTAGAAATATACGACTTTCCTCATCATCTTCAACCTATACTGAGGATACAATTATAACATTTTCCAAATGGCTACTAGATATTGGAGATGGGAAGTTAGGATTACCACATGATGGCATTGCAGAAATTGACATCTTGCCCAATTTGCTGATCCGAGACTTTACAAATCCATTAAAAGCAATTGTTGAAAACACATATCCTGATCTTATGCATAATCATGCTGACTCAAAGTACTTTACAGATAGAGCAATTCTTATACCGATACTAGATGTCATTAATGAAATCAATGACTACATGTGCTCCTTATTACCAGGCAAGGCGACTACTTATCTGAGCTCTGACTCAATCCCAAAAGCAGCCCACAACAATGATTCATTGGATCCAATCTATACCACTTGTTAATATTGAAAATATTGAAAATAGGGACACCTGTTATGTTGATTAGAAATATAGACCAAGCTTCTGGACTGTGCAACGATACACAACTTCGCATTTCACACTTGGGCAAACATTTCATCAAGGCAACTATACTTAAAGGATCATCTTCTAATGATGAAGTGTTACTGCATAGAATGGACATGAATCCATCTGAGACCACATTGCCGTTTACTATGCAAAGAAGGCAATTTCCTGTTATCCTTTCATTTGCAATGACAATAAATAAAAGTCAAAGTCAATCTTTGGAGAATGTTGGAATATACCTTCCGAGACCAATTTTTACTCATGGCCAACTCTATGTTGCTCTTTCACGAGTCAAATCAATTGCAGGCTTAAAAATGCTCATTCTTGACTCTAACAAGAAACCGAAAACAACAACGACCAATGTCATTTATAGGGAGGTCTTCCAAAACATTAATTAATGTGAAACAACTTTTGTCCTCATCATTGTATTTAAGCATGACAAGCCAAGGCCTAATGCCTTGCAAAATGTAACTCACACACAATTTTACCTGCCTTTATGCATTTTGGTTAAAGTTAATACTAATTTCATATTACTATTAAGTAATCCTTTATTGCTTATGCAACTATTAACCCTTCCCATTATTATTTTGGAAAAATATTCCAGTTTCTTGTATTTCATTCATTATTACTACTCTTGCAAAAATCATTTCAACCTAAGAGATATATTAATCATTTTAACTTAACGAAAGTAATATTTACTCACAAAAGATTAATGTAAATAATTGCAAGTCATATGAACATAATTACGTTACGAATATTTCCTTACAATAAAGTTACAAAAATAATTGTCCACCATTTGCAGATTTGCAATTACATAAATACCATTAAATAAAATTGCACTTCAATGGAATGCCAAAATATGTAACAAATATTAGAATATATAATATAGATATTTTTCAAATAAATTAATTCTAACGACTCTTTCCCCCATTGCCATTGAACCTCCCATACCTTTACATCAAATAACAATAACATTCAAGGTTTTTTAGTCATCAATTAATATTTTATAAATTCTCATAGATTATTTTTTATTAATATTTATATTTTTTTCTCCAACATCAACATTTATATTTAGTTTAAATTTTGCCCCTTGTAATTAATTTTTTTGAGTCCACCATTACAAATATCTTTATTAATATTTATAATTTTTTTCACTTCAAATTAACGAGCAATATCTTTAGTTCAATCAAAATTAATGCATGTCAAGAACAAATCGAAGTGCGTGTTGTACTTTAAGTATTGACAAAACAAGAGCTTATAGGAATGAAATCATGTTACGCTAAGTAATATTATCATAAAGGTCAACAACCTTATATGTTACAAACATATCTACATAGGTAATAGGCACACAAATCTTTGTATGGCAAAATCATCCAGAAGACCACTATGTGATACAAAAAAAATATGCACTATCAATTTTGATGAGAAAGTTATCACTTTGGGAAGCAAGCAAACTCGATTCAAGCTTAAACAGAACCTACATAGCTAACGTTTGCGTCACCAGTCAGCATCATAAACGATTAATACTTCCACTTGTGTATAAAAATTACATGACACTTAACAATACAAACGTAAGGAAAGAAATTTGGATAACTATCACCCAGCGTTAATAAATGTAACGTACATACATCGAATCAAACTATGTAACCTTCATTTATTGCGGTTCAGGAAAAACTTTGCGACAGACTATTCAGGCCAAGCGATCCAAACAAGCGGCGATGCAGGGCACTACTTTACTGGCATTGATGGTGCATGCAGGAGTAGTCCAGAAACTGACACTCGCCCTAAACAGTCACACCACTGCATGACAGCATCACATTTCAAGTATCCAACTTATATTACCAACAAACATGCTTACATGTCATGGAGTTTGCTATAAATAGCACAACCATCCTAATATATCATCACTAATCAAACTACTGAGAAAAGAAAGAAACCTCTGCAAAAATTCTTTTCGATGGCTTTGATGGGATTTACTCCACTAAACGAGCTGCATGTCGGTGTCGACGGGGGATGCATCTGCGTTAGGGTCCTACAATAGTTCAATCACACTTACACCCATGCCGGACATACGTGGTATGGCACATTCCGCAAGCAAAAGTCTTTTGACTTCATTGTCATCAAACACCATGTAAGAATGATCTTCTCATGGACTACAACGTAAAAAAATTAAACTCAACATACACTACTCTGAATTTAAAATGCTACTCGTCAGTATAACGATATCCTTTTTCGGTTACCTTCACTCTGTTTTACATGTCATTAAACAGGGGGCAAGGATGAGAGTTGTTATTACTGCTAAGCGACTTATCGATAGGTTCATGAACCTTATCAAAGAAGGAAAGTGTTACATTATCACCAACTACCAATGTACATATTGGGGTGATGAAATCCACCAAAAGCACCAACTGCGATTTGGCCCAAAAACAGACATGGAGGAATGTCATCTACCACTTCCAAGGATTTCATTCCACTTCATGACCATTTCTGAAACGTACCTTAGAGCTGGAAAAGCAAGCTTTTGGTTAAGTTCATGTCCTTTATTCTAAAGTTTTCATTTTTATGAAGATGAGGTAAAAAATATCATTACCTCATTTGACGTCATCCTACTTTCATACAGATGTGTACGGCATTGTCGTCCAAGTAAGTCCAATGAATTATGTATGGATCGAGGGTGACCTGATTGAAGAACTACCTATCATGATACAAAGTGCTCAGTAAGGCTTTTACTTACAAGAACATTTGCCACCATAACTAAACTTCAATATACAAGCATGTTACCTTCTTTTCCATGCAGGCAAGAAAGATCAATTGTTTCTTATATGGCGAGACTGCTCTATTGGCCCAGCAAGATTTTAATCGTTTGAAGAACCCCAAGGACTGTGTGGTTCTTATCATGTTTGTGATGGAAGGGCTTTGTTCAAGTTTAACGCATAATTTCAAAGATTCAATAATAACAATGCAACTTTACAATAACACATTCATCAATATTTTACTTCCACGATGCAGGTATTTCCATCATTACGAATTTCTCCAAGGCCACAACAGTTGTCTTTGATCCAATGATGCCTGAGTTCATGGAGTACAAGAGAACTCTCCTAGCACCGTCAACCTCAACGACTTGAATGCAAGTCTAAGACCATATCTTTTGGAAAGTTTCAGCATTTCTATCTATATAATGCTGAATATATTATCTTCTATGCTTATAAATGACATGTACTATATAACTGTGAACTACCTACTTTTATCGCCGACTACATAGGGTCCTCACATCATCCTCTATAACAAATATGAATGATATTATTAGCATATTACATTAACCGTCTCTTTCATTTTTTTACTGCATCACCTGGGATCAACCCTCCTAAAAGCTTTATTAATTGCACATGCATGTGGAAAGCCAAAACAAAGTCACACAAATAATAAAAATAAAATATTTTAAGTATACCCATGTTAACGTTTGCACTATTACGTTCAATGTAATGTTCTTACAGAATATCTAGCATGCCTTCAAAGAACAGATCCAACCTACCCAATGTCGATACTATAGCAGTATACTACGCTAGACATTAATTACTTCCATTTTGAGCCAAACACCTAATGAATTCACGAGTCATCATGCAACAAGCGGCCAAGCAATAAATGAATCTGTCCACTCAAACCACTCGACAAGTCAATCACTTAGGTAACCAAAACAATGACCCCCCACGTATGAATAGGACAAAAATGGATTATTACTTACATCCTCTAACTCAAAAGAACCTATCATAACATCCTTAGACACGTTCCCTAGACCATGACAAAGAGCCCAACAATCAAGGGCTGACAAAAAATGTCAATGACGTCCAGACAAAGCAGCTCAAATGGCCCAAGTATAGCCCAACCCCATAACTAAGATCAGAATCCCCAAATTGCAAAGGAATATGGACAAGTCTTTTTTTTAAAAAAAATTGAATAGGCCTTACATCATCAGTAAAAGTCAACACAATGCGTCCCCATCGTATACCAACTCATCCCAACTTAACCATCACCATAACTAATAGAGAATATCACAAAGAATCATTTTAACAATATCATATTAATTAAAAGATAGGTACACAGGACCTCACCATTTTTTCACCCAACTGTGCAACGCACGGGTGGATTGCTAGTTGTATTCTAGATTCCACCACCCCCACCCCCACCCCCACCCCCCCTAATAACATACTCACATCCATAATGATATTTGCACATACAACCTTGTAAATTATAATCTAAATTATATTGTCATATTTTTATAATAACTTCAACAGGAAATTTCGACCCCTCTGTTCCAGAGACTACTAACCGATCCCAACTTTAGTATGAAGTGTGTTAATTTCAGTTAATTTCTTCAAGTGCTTATTCATTGAACTAAGATATCTTCATGCAATTGTCAAGCTATTATAATAGTTTAGGAATTGTTTCCAATATTTTCAAATGCAGACTTTCAAATTTTAAATGCTTACACAGCTACGGATTTACACCAAGAAAAACTATATGCCAAAACATTAAAAATGCTATGGATATAGTGAATGCAAAATAACACTGCACCACCAACAAAATCAGTAGTCTTAAATCTTCCAATAATATGATCTATATCCAGTTCAAGCCTCCAAATTACAAATAAACTCACTTAAGATTCCTGGTTTCTGCATCACATCGAACTCTTGACTGGATGGGTGAGAGACAAACATACTCTGACCATCAAACCAAAACGTTGAATGGCACAAATAGACCAACTTGGATCCATCTACAGCTGCATATCAAGAAGATAACAATGTTAGCCCTTTCAAATTAAGTTACTAAATTTGTGTAACACTCGTTGGCTCAAGAATCATGTATCCAATGAATTAATTTGCAATTTTAACTGTAATCAATATCATACCTTTAGCTCAACCCTTCCATTCATCTGTGTAGCTTCAAAAATAAAAGAGCATTCAATTGGCAGGTAGTTATCCTTCAGGAATTTGACCATCAACTTCAACGTAGGAGATTGAATTTATCATGTTCTCATCAGGACGCAAGACGTCACACTGTGTAATAATTAAGAAATTCAAGGATTCTGGTACTTCTCCATTTGGCGAGAATTGAACTTGTCGACAACGACTAGTTTCCAATTTTTCAAGAGAAGTGAGACATCCGAGGGAAGGAAGGAACTGTAAGATCGGACAATGTCTAATTGAAGATGACAAAGTTTAGGCATGTTACCAATTTGAAAATCTGTCCAGTCTCGAAGCTTAGGCATATTGTTGAGTTTTAGTTTCAGTAAAGAAGGAAAAGACATGCCACGACCTGTAAAGTTTTCATCTATAGAGTCCAAGTCAGGCATGTTATGAATGTAAAGAGAATTGAGCATTGGAAGTTGACCAAGAGACGGAAGAGCTACGCATTTGTAGCAGTTATGCAAGTAAACGCTTTGTAGCATGCAAAGTGACTGACTTGTGAGCCAATCTGGGAATGTAGCACCACTATAACCTGATACAGTTAGCTCCTTGATCAGATTATGAGGCCGCAAACCTCCTAAGACTTCTGGTGCTGTGAGGTGATATTCAACCTCCCATTCTAACTTTAAGTTGTCCAGATATGCTTTCTGATCTAACTTGGCTGCGGCAGCTTCTTCATTATTTGTAACATTTTCAAGATTGGTGATGCAAATGGCTCCCCGAAGGCAATTCATATCTTTAAGCTCCTCAATTTGTTGTCCCTTCTCTTTGGCCACAAGAAATGCAGATAAAGTTTCAAGATTTGTCAACCTTCCAAATTGTGCTGGCATAGAGTTTATTTGCCTCTGTATATCCAACTCAAGGTGTCGAAGATTCGTCAAGTTCTTCATATCTTTAGGCAAATGACGAAACTGCAGGCAATTGTTTAGCTTAATGGTTTCCAACCCTCGTAGCTTTGTGATTGATTCTGGCAAGCTTTCAATGTTTGTGTTCGAGACATCAAGATGACGAAGGTGCCTCAACTTATCAATTGTACTAGGCAGTTCCGTAATGTTAGTACGACTTAAATCTAGTACTCTGATATAAGGCATCTTGTGGAAAATTTCAGGAGGGATTTGGTGAACTTTATCTGCACCTTGAGACAACAAAATGAACGTTCGCAAGTGGCTACATCTGTGAAAAACCTTCCAAGCCGCTGATGGTTGAATATCTTTACAGAGCAAGGTTGAGTACCGGGTGAGTTTTAAGATTTTGTGGTGGACGTGGAATGTTATCTTCCAATCTGAAACATAACCCATCAGAAACAAATTCAGCAACGCCATGAATGAGATCATGCATTTTGTATGTCTGATGATTGCCTTGACCCTCACGTGAAACTTGGAAAAGGCAGCTCGACAACAAAAGATCAAAGTAATCTTTGCCAATATCTTCTGGTCTTCTCAATGCTCTTTTTTCAATAAACCCTTCTCCAATCCATAATTGGACCAATTCATCCCTTTTGAACTCATAATCAGGAGGAAAAATTGAGCAATATGAAAAACCTTTTCAAGGAGTAAGGTAAATGATCATAGCTCATTTTCAATGCAAGAAGAAGCTCATTTGCACCATGCCCTAGGTCCCATAATTTACTTGCTAATACAGCTTGCCATCCCTCCTTGTCAAATTTAGTACGCAGAATATTTCCAATAACTCTTGCAGCTAATGGCAACCCCTTACATTTTTGTGCAATTTTTAAACCGATTTTCTCATATTCTTGGTGCTCGTCTTCTTTTATACAAGAGAATGCTTTTTGTTTGATCAGACTCCAACATTCTTCAACAGATAAAGTCTTCACATGATAGGCTGGGATTGTGGAAACAATTCTAGAAACAATCATGCTTCTTGTAGTTACTAAGATTTTGCTTCCTTTAGCATTGGCTTTGAGAGGCAATAATAGCCTATCCCAATCTCTTCCATTTTCATTCCACATGCCATCCAACACAATCAGAAACTTGACTTCGGAAAGTGCAGTTTGAAGTCTAGTTTGAGTAGCGTTCAAATTCAAGACCTGAAGCATTGTTGCCTCTGGTTCAATAGACTCCAAAATTAAATGTGTGATCTTTTCCACAGTATCTTCCTTAGAAACAGACACCCAGATGCGTGAAAATTGCCTCATCACATCATCATCATTGAAGAGAAGTTGGGCAAGTGTGGTTTTACCAACCCCAGCCATGCCCACGATTGAAATAACAGAAATATCACAAGTTGTTGTTTCCCCTAGCGACAACAGTCCCTTAATCTCATTCAGAGCTGTCTGCCTTCCTATCACAAATGATTTATTCACTAATGAGCTAGTCTGCACATCTCCGATAAAGTTAGGCTGCTGGATGTTGACTAAATCAGTCATAAAGAGACCATCCATCTCCCTTGCCATGCCTTCTAGCCTCTCTCGAATATTAGCCATCTTACGAGGAATCCCTACTTTCAATTCAGGAAAGACTAGATTGATTACCTCATCCTTTTGGGTCCGCTCCTCCCCGTCAGTGTTGGAGTTAAGCTTCATAAGCCCAAGGTCAATCTCATCTAGTAAGTCATCGGCATCATGTATAACATTCTGAAGGTCGCGAAGCCAAAGCTGAACGGCCCTCTGGCTGCTATGGCACCACAGTTGCTGCTTGATTGCGACACAGTCCACGAGAGCTTCAACCTTGAGGACTGCTCTTTTCAGCTTCTTGAATTCTTCTTCGGCATCTAAGATGAGAGCAATTTCATTCTGAGCAAAAGTCAGAAATTTTTCAAGAAAAACTTGAAATGTTGCTGGTACAAAACCAGATTCGCTTATTGGGTTAGAACCCATTTTGAAGCTTAGGATTCAAATGTTCTAGTGAATAGGGAAACAGTCTTGGCTTGATGAGTAGAGACGATTCCCTCATGGAAAACTGGATGTTAATAAGTACATTATTAATTGCTTCCAGAGCATTCTCATTTTTTACCCCTGGTCATATCATATCATTTTTCTTGCCGACAAATTTCCCACGACCATAAAAAGTACTTAAACTTTAACTCGAACTGTCATAATCATACATTTTTAGATAACTAGATTCATGGCCCGATGTACGAAAATAGTTTAGTTTTTGAAAATAAAAATAAATATAAATATTAAAAATTATTTTTATATAAACATGAATATTTACTCTATTTAAATATAAAATATTTTTAATTAAATCTCACATTTAATAAAATAATATTTATTTTTAAATAAATCTCATTTTTTCATATTTATCTCATTTAATAGAGTATTTCACTCTAAAATAAATATAAAGTGATTTATTTAATAGGATAATTTTTTAAAAAAGGTAATAATTACATTTTAAAAGATTAAAATGTCTTATATTTTTAATATCCAACCTTTTAAAAAATACCTTTTATTTTTTAATGAAGGGAGTATATAAAAAAAAAAAATTTATACATCTAACACCTATTATTTTACCAAAAATCTTACATTTGCCATCAATTTTTAGTATAAAATCCTACATGAACTCTCAAAATATAAAAGGCTTATTATTTTTTACACCTTATTTAAATTTTTAAAATATATAAATGTAGACCCCACTCATATTTTTAATGGGGAGTCTTATATACTACTTTTTTAAATAACACTTCTTCAATTTTTTAAAAATCAAGTTTATTAAAATACTCCCTCTGTTCGAAAATAAGGCATTTTTAATTAAATTTTACCCTCAATAAATAATTATTTACTTTTTAATTAACCCTATCTTTTGATATTTATCCCTATTAAACACCCTACAATAAACATAAAGTCATTATCAATAGGAACACTTTTAAAAAAAGATAATGAGTACATCTCAAAAAAACTAAAAATACTTACATTTTTGAACGGAGAAAGTATTATATTCTCTCTATTAACCTTAGAGCCTCAATTCATATCGAATTTAAAATATCTGAACATATACAAAATTTATAGTTGAGCATGATTCTTAATACATTTAGCTTTTGAGTTTATTTAAACTGGTCTAACTATTCCAAATTATTAAACATTATTTTATTTTATTTTTCTCTTTATTGAGTCCATACATGCCTTTGAATATTTTTTTGACCAATTTATATATTTAATTTTTTAAAAAGTTACAAAATAAATACCTTTAAATAATAAAAAATTAATTTTTTGGTAATTTAAATAATTTTTAGACAGTATTTATATTTAAATAGGGGTATTTTAATTCAATATATGTAACTTAATAGTTAACTAATGATTAAATAGATGAAAATAAAATTTAAAAAATAAAAAGAGAGCTTGTGTTTTATAACTATTTATATTAAAAAATATTTATATAGGTTTTAAAAAATGAAAAAAGATATTATTAATTAAGATAAAAATAGATTAAATATTTTTTCCTTTTTGAGTATAAGTTTTGTATGTACCGCATCCATCTGGAAAAAAAAAAAAAAAAAGAAAACTTTGGATTCACAAAAAAAAAAAAAATGCAAAGTCGGATATCTGACGCTACCAAATTTAAAAAAAAAACAAAAAACAAAAAAACAAAAGTCCGATGGTACTGTATATCTACACCATCCGACAGTGTTGCAATGACAGAAGATTAAAAAAAGGGAAAAACTGGTGGCATTTACTGTTCATCAAAACGTGCCAAATTTATATAGATATAAATATAGATGAGGAAACTTATCCTTTATTTATTTATTTTTTATAAATTGAATTTTTTTAAAAATGATTTTTCCAAATTTCTTATGTGAAGAGAATTTCAATATTGTTGAATCAATTTAATTAATTCAATTGATAAGGATGGTGTAAGTGCCCTTTGAATTTTCATACAATTAAATGGAAATTGACAGGTGAATGTGACAACTGTCTAAAATTAAACGGAGTAAAAACAAAATGTTATTATTGCACTGCGAAACCATTTCTCCTATGATTAAACCCATTTAATAATTTAAGAATACTTGTTATTGAGACTTTTTAGTAATAATTTTTTTTGGTAAAATTAACAAGTAATTTTTCCTTATTTATACTCTTGGTGGTAATGCAATGTGGAACTTTCTTTTTGACACGCATTCACATGCACAAACTACAACGGCAGTTCAGAGTTGAATGGAAGTTTAAGACGAGGCTGAACTCTCCAAAGCAAGCAAAAGTTGGTTTGGCTTTGGATATAGCTGCAAGTCAAAGATCTTGGTTCGTTCACAGTTGAATGACAGTTGAATTTGATTGTTTTTTGTTTCCCGGTTAAAAACAGAATCAAAGTTGAAAATGAGCTTGAACTCTAGATTGGAGCTTCCTATTGCCGCGTTAGAAGTTAGTTTAAAGTTGATTCCTTTTTGTCTTTAAATTCTGAAGGATGGGTTGAATAGTTTACAAGTCATTGTACATAAAAACCTTGTTTAATCCACTTACACATAAATAAATAAAAAAGAGTGGGTACAATAGGCTTTAAAAAAAAAAATGTTTTGGTCAGTGACGATGAGAATATAGGTTTATGCTTGTAATTAATCAGAAGTAACAACAGGCTTGGTCTATATGTAAAGAGTACGTCTAAGACAAGTTACATTATTTATGACTTCTAAATTCCTTTTTAGTGGAAGAAAGGAAAAAGAAGGAATGAAGACGCCGTTTGTGGTTTGCACAAATTAGTGGCTTTGCATATGCCCTTATCAAAACTTCAATTTATTAACCTTGAAAGGGGAATGTGTGATCAGAAATGGCAAAGGTGTCGGTCATGTTCGGAGATGAGCCAAGGGAAAGGAATATGGAGAGAGATCATACATGAATATAGATAGCAACAGAATGATTTACTAGTTCCTTCTCTCATCTTGTTTATAAACTATTTTAATATATTTTATTAAAATCAAGAAAAAATTTAAAAATCATTAACTATATTTAATAAATTTTAAATTTTATCCATATTTTTTTGAATCAATTTTTTCTACTCATATTAAATATACATCATTTAATAAACATGCTTTCTTTTACCAAAATTTAATGATTTAATGAAGAGTATAAAAAAAATTACAATAAAAAATAATGCCGACTTATAAATGGTAAAAAAAATAATGTTTCCTTACCTTGTAGGTAGAAATCAGGGAGTCACACTCGACACCGAATGAAGTGCACCGGGAGAGAGAAACGGGCTCCAATAGGTGCAAAAGCGTGCAGAAGATAAAGGAAAATTAAAAAGAATTAAAAAATTAAAAACATTTATGAGAAATAACAGAAAATAGTAAGAGATGACACACAAAATTTAAAATGAGAAAACCTTTGGAATGAAAAAAAAAAAAAGAAAAAAACTCACCACATCAAGGGACAAATTTTACTGTAAAATAAAGAGTTCACAATGATGGTCTTAGGAGAGAATACAGTTTAACTGCCCAATATTTTAAGAAGATACATGAATGAGATGATAATATATCTTAATATAAAATCTTAAAACATTAGATTTATAGATCTTTTTAACTTATATACCTATTCTTTAGCTCAACTCTAATTGGTGTAGAACTTTTTCTGCATACTATGTTAATACAAGTCAACTTACACTTGACATCTCAATAAAAGATACTCCCTCTGTTTCTATATGTAAGAAAAAAATTGTATCATATGGTTTAAAAAAATTAATTAACCATAATAATCATGTCTGAAAATAAAGAAATTGGACTAAAATACTCCATATTAATAAACACAAGCATATATTAATTATTTCTTATTAATGTAGATTATGAGGGGCGATTTAAAAAATATGTAATAACTGTTTATTGAAATATGTAATTTTTTTATATAAAAAAATAAATAAAAAGTGATAATTTCTCTTACAAATAGAAATGGAGTAGTACTTCTTCTATCTCAATTTATAAAACATTTTTAAACAAAATTAAACATCTCAATAAAGCTTATTAATTACACTTCACAACTTTATTTTTTCAAGATAAAAATATAAACTTTCAAACATACTATTCAATAGAATATTAAAGAGAGAGAATATAATTGTAAGCATAATATTGAAAAAGTATTATTAATAAAATTTTATTTTTATCAAAGTATAATATATTTTAGGATTAAGGTGCATTTTTGCTTTTTCAGTATTTTTCAAGGAGCACACAGTACCCTAACGTTTTTGTTGGAACAATTTTGCTCTTAAAATTATCAAAACGAAACATTTTTGTCCTTTCCATCAAAATTTTAATGTTGACCTCAAACCTTGACTATTAGAAATTTTGATGAAAAGAGAAAAAATGCTCCATTTTAATAACTTTAAGGATAAAATTTCTCCAACAAAAATGTTAGAGTATTGGGTACTCCTCCAAAAATACTTCTGGTGCATCTCTTTTAAAAATGTTTACCCTATATTTTGATACATTAAATCTTTTTTAAAAATATCTTACAAATGGAGATGGAGGTAGTACAGTGCATCTCTTTAAGAGACCTAGCTTTTACTATCCCATGCACGGGTGGATTTTATTAAAGGATGCATAATTAGATAAATCACATCTCATTATCATGCTATTAAAGCTAAATGAATCACCAATTGTCACAAATAGACGATCTGTAGCACACCTCTATGAGCCCGGACAGACATACGATGCTTGGAGCACCCTCTTTCGATTACGTGTGCCAGAATATATGGACATTATGATGCACAAATACGGGTATGCTGAGGTATAATATGACACAATTCGTCGCACAATGCACATTTTATAAAATTTTAAGACCCCAATACGAAAATACGACATCAACATTAATAGAACGCTATATCTTTTATAAATATGAAGACAGCATTTAAGTTCAATTCTTTATTCCAATAATTGCTCACATTTAATTATACCGGCAGTATTCCAAACAGATTTTTTTTAGTAAGAGAATGCCGAAGTGCGAAAAAGTAAAAAAGAAAAAATACCATATATTGTGCCATAAGATACAATTTCTTCAATAAATTCTTCCAACCAGACTCACATATTTTGTGTTATCTTCTTTTCAGCAAATATAAAGGTCATAAACATATAAAATTATCTTGATCCTTGCGATGTAAAACTTGACAAAGCAAAATATAATCATTAAAATATTATCCCACATAAGATGCTGAAAGATTAAAACCAAATTACTTTGTAGCATCAAGAGCAATCCCAGGTCTCGGCTTTATCACGAACTGAATAGCAAACTATTGGCATTTTCTTTGAAGAACTTCACAAATCACGAGCAAGTAGAAATTTATAGCTAATATTTAAAATGTGAACATCATTTAGCATCTATAGACTACACCTCCAACATCAAACAAGCTAAAATTATACGTTCCTTACTTCTTTTCCCTCTAGATTAGCTAGCTCATAACAAGGCCAGCAATAAGTGCCCCGCGCCAGCTGCCTTAGCAATAAGCACACTTTTGGCCCCAAAAAAAAAAAATATCTAGAGATTGTCAAACTCTTAAGAGTGCTCCTCAAGAACTTACACAAAAACACATTGAGACAGTATAGCATAATAAATAATTCACTGTAATTAGATACAAGTACAGACGAGCGTTTATTTCCAATATATAGATGAGAAAATTAGAAATTGAAATCGTTGACCAGGAAAAACACTTTCATACTTGAACACGAATGAACAAACTACAAAATATGTGTTCTTCCAGTCTAGCCATTAAGATTACAATCCTGGGTATTCTCCTTGAGCTCCATGTACACATTGAATGGAAAACATTTTCTTCAATCATTCTTGAATTGAAAGTGGTCTAACTGAACCTGTTGAAACGACCAGATCGATCAACAATTGACCGAAGAGATTTCTTGATCATCAATCAAAATAACGGGGACATGTGCTATCTTTGGCCAATCTTGGCCCTGCGATTTGTCAAAGCATGTTTTAAGTTTCGGGCAATCCTTGATGAGAAGAGTTTCAAGAGAAACATTCTCTTGTCCATCTAGAAATGGCATAATATTGTGACAGTAGCTCGTTTCTAAATGTTTAAGGGACTCGCTTAAGCATGACAGTCGAGGAAGTGATTTCAATCTGGGGCAGTTTTTCAACCGCAGGGCATGCAAGGATGGGAAATCACCGCTTTTTACTCCATCCCACTCTTCCAATTTGGGCATGTCTTCAAAGACTAGTTTTTCAAGACGAGGAAATGCATGATCCTGTGAATTACCACTACTCTTTCTACAGAATAGCTGGTCTATTCTCTTTAACTCATCCATTTTTGTGATGTGCAGAGACTGAAGTGATGGCAAATCACCAAGGGATGGAAGGAACTGACAGTTTTTGAAACTGTAGAGAGAAAGATCAACTAGACATTCATACAATGGGTCACTAATCCACGTTGGAAGCTTGGAACCACCGTAGTCTAGTATTCGCAGTTCTTGTAGGTGCAATGTGGGTTGAAGATGTTCAAGTATTTTCTCATCATTGGTGTTAATATTTTCAACTATTTTACCGCTCCACCTTAGCTCCAAAGTAGTGAGGTAATTCTTATCAATCAAAGCTGCTTCCTCAGCGTCTTCTATGTCTAGAACATTCTCAAGCCTCGAAACGCAAAATGATCCAGTAAGATTTCTGATGCTTCCCAGCTCTTGAATTCTGTATCCTTTTTCTTTGCCAACAATAAACGCTGACAAAGTTTGAAGGTTAGTTAAGTTGCTAATTCCAGATGGCATAGATTGCAACTGTCTAATAACATCAAAATCAAGATGCCTGAGCTTGGTGAGCTTACTCATGCCATTGGGTAACTCAACTAGATTGAAACAACCTCTGAGGTTCAGAGTTTGTAAATTTTGAAGATTGTCAATCGAATCAGGCAACTCCTTCATGGGTGTGTGAGAGAGATCCAAATACCGTAATGATTTCAAATACCCAATGGAACTTGGTAATTCAGACAAAAGGCTATAACTGAAGTTCAATGATGTCAAATTCTTCAGGCTCAAGAAGAGATCACGAGGAACTTTTTTGAAAGAGACCCCATGATCAGGAAGTAAGAAAAGAGTCCGAAGATACTTGAACCTTTTTATAGCGTTAAACTTCGTATCATCAAAGCTTTTACAAAGTATGCACATGTGCGTTACCACTTCAGGCACATCTGAGATTCTAACAGATCTGGCATCAAAAATAGTAGGGCTGAGTAAAGATTCTGCCAATCTGGAAAATTTATAGAGCAACCTTCTTTTGTTGGGATTATGAAAATCCAAGACCGGGTCAGTTCTAGAGGAAATTATTACTTCTCGCTGCACAAATGAGTCAAACAAGACCCCAGCATCATCTTCTGCTCTATTCCTTGGGCTCTGATTTTTCTGAAAAAGCCCTTCCGCTATCCATAATCTGATCAAATCTTCTTTGGTAAACTCATAATCAATAGGGAAGAGAAAACTATGGGCAATGAGTGATCTATCTTCACGTTCCTCATTGGTGATATCATCTCGTTTGCCAGAATCTACGGATGAGGATGGTTTTCCTGGATTCGGCTCTAAAACTGAAGAGTGGGAGTCTTCATACTTTAACGGTTCATAAGATAAGAGAATAACAAAAACAAACAATAATTACAAACAGTAGAAGAAAGGAACGAAAGATTCCAATAGAAGTATTTGGAATTTATTAAAACTAGCATTTACTCCCCCATGCGTTGCATGGGAAGCTTATACTTTATGGTTATTATAATTGATCTTGTAATGAATTAGATTTACCTTCATGCTAGATAAAAATGATATGGGAAAACAATAGGGTTGCACTAAATAAGAAGAATATTTGAAATGTAATAACCTTCCCTTCCATGTGACTAAACATTGAACTCATGCTTGTTCATTCCTCTCCCCCAAGCAAGAAAACAAAAAACAAAAAAATAAGAACGCACTACATGTACATCCTATATATGATGGACAATAAATAGTTTTAACAAAATGTTGATGCAATTGACTATAAATTTGAAACATATGATAAGGATATGGATAAATATTATCCACAATTATTTTATTTTTCAAGCATATTCCTTCAATTTTATTATTTTCATTGAGACTGGTTAAACCACAGTCTAATCACAGTCGAGTGAACCAGTACCCCAACAAGTTCAATGCTCAGCCAGGTTCTAATAATATTGAATATAATTGAAAGAGAATATGGTAAAAATGATGGAAAGATATTATGTCAAAATGCATAATAACTTCACAGAAAGAATAAGAGGAGGAAACGGTGGAACCTTATCTGCAATGTTAGAAGGCTCGCTTAAGTCCTTAAGTACCAATATAATTGACTCGTTTGACTCCTCATATGCCTCTGGCTCCTGATAAATAAGAGAAACCAAAGACATCTAACTTGTCACAAACTATGTGGAAAGGGGCGTAAAGATGCTACTGAAGAATCAGGCTATATAATTGATTTAAGAAAGTAATAAAGCATGTGTGAATGAGATACATAATTAAATGTTATTGTATATGCAGCTCTCACTAAAATTCCAATTTAAGGGAAGGCACAAGGTGGCTTCGGCCCTTTTCCTAAACAGATGGGGAACTAAAGAATAAAGATGCCATTGAAAGAATTTGACATTTATAATGTTCTTATAAGTAGAAAGAACAGAAATATGCTAACGTAAAGGAACTAGGATATATAATGGCAGGAGATTGACAAAAATATTTGGAGAAAACGTGATCAAGAAAGTTACCACATAAGAAACTTTTGCCTTATCAGCAATATTAGAAGAAGGCTTGACTGGTAAGTCCTCAGATCTCTCAAGTTCCTCAGGTGTGCCAACATCTGTCTCCATTGAAAATGAGATTGCCTTTGGTGGCTGATAGATAAGAAAACCAAAGACAACTGACTTATTAGTTATTACCAAACCCCCCCCAAGGCGCGGCAGGGGGAGGGAGTGAAATAATGCATATAAGGTATTTTAAAAGGAAGTAAGATGTATGGTAAAGATGATGGAAAGATATTATGTCAAAATGAATAATAACTTCACAGAAAGAAGAAGAGGTGGAAAGGGTGGAACCTTATCTGCAATGTTAGAAGGCTCGCTTAAGTCCTCAACTACCAATATACTTGACTCCTTTGACTCCTCATATGCCTCTGGTTCCTGATAAATAAGAGAAACCAAAGACATCTAACTTGTCACAAACTATGTGGAAAGGGGCGTAAAGATGCTACTGAAGAATCAGGCTGGATAATTGATTTAAGAAAGTAATAAAGCATGTGTGAATGAGATACATAATTAAATGTTATTGTATATGCAGCTCTCACTAAAATTCCAATTTAAGGGAAGGCACAAGGTGGCTTCGGCCCTTTTCCTAAACAGATGGGAAACTAAAGAATAAAGATGCTATTGAAAGAATTTGACATCTATAATGTTCTTATAAGTAGAAAGAACAGAAATATGCTATCATAAAGGAACTAGGATATATAATGGCTGGAGATTGACAAAAATATTTGGAGAAAACGTGATCAAGAAAGTCACCACATAAGAAACTTTTGCCTTATCAGCAATATTAGAAGAAGGCTTGACTGGTAAGTCCTCAGATCTCTCAAGTTCCTCAAGTGTGCCAACATCTGTCTCCATTGAAAATGAGATTGCCTTTGGTGGCTGATAGATAAGAAAACCAAAGACAACTGGCTTATTAGTTATTACCAACCCCCCCAGGCGCGGCATGGGGAGGGGGTGAAATAATGCATATAAGGTGTTTTAAAAGGAAGTAAGATGTATGGTAAAGATGATGGAAAGATATTATGTCAAAATGCATAATAACTTCACAGAAAGAATAAGAGGAGGAAACGGTGGAACCTTATCTGCAATGTTAGAAGGCTCGCTCAAGTCCTCAACTACCAATATACTTGACTCCTTTGACTCCTCATATGCCTCTGGCTCCTGATAAATAAGAGAAACCAAAGACATCTAACTTGTCACAAACTATGTGGAAAGGGGCGTAAAGATGCTACTGAAGAATCAGGCTGGATAATTGATTTAAGAATGTAATAAAGCATGTGTGAATGAGATACATAATTAAATGTTATTGCATATGCAGCTCTCACTAAAATTCCAATTTAAGGGAAGGCACAAGGTGGCTTCGGCCCTTTTCCTAAACAGATGGGAAACTAAAGAATAAAGATGCTATTGAAAGAATTTGACATTTATAATGTTCTTATAAGTAGAAAGAACAGAAATATGCTATCGTAAAGGAACTAGGATATATAATGGCTGGTGATTGACAAAAATATTTGGAGAAAACGTGATCAAGAAAGTCACCACATAAGAAACTTTTGCCTTATCAGCAATATTAGAAGAAGGCTTGACTGGTAAGTCCTCAGATCTCTCAAGTTCCTCAGGTGTGCCAACATCTGTCTCCATTGAAAATGAGATTGCCTTTGGTGGCTGATAGATAAGAAAACCAAAGACAACTGACTTATTATTTATTACCAAGCCCCCCCACCCCGCCCCTGGGGGGCGCGGGGGGAGGGGGGTGAAATAATATATATAAGCTATTTGAAAAGGAAGTAAGATGCATAATGGTTTCTAAAATGGAAAAGAAAAAATGGTACGGCCTAACTTTGTTGATAAAATCTAGAAGAAAAGATAATGTGAGTGGGATGAACAAAATGTCATATTCTCACCTGATTTTTAATTTTAGAGGAACATGCGCGGCTCAGGGTATGATTGCTGCGAACTAGCTGCAAGGTTGCTTCCATAACCATCCTGGATAATACCTCTTCATCTCTTGAAGTCAGTAGTATTTTGCACACTGCTCTATGAGCATCACCCAATGGAATTTCTATTTCACCCAGATCAAGCTCTTGCCTAAGGTCATCCAAAATTATCAACATAGATATTAGCCTATCTTTATTTCCGGCTTTCTCTTCACTCCTTTGGTTTTGTAGAATCTCTATTTGTTGATTTCGTGTTACAACTGCCCTAATCACCACATCAAATAACTTGTCTTCTTCAGCTTTTTCTGCGACTTCCTTTGTTAAAGAAGTGTTTGACACACCTTGACCGTACACACCAATTATGCGGATATAAGGATTTTTCAGCATTTTCATGACCTCTTTGGATGTTGAGATGCCATCGTACTCTAATTTTGGAGGATTAGTAAACGTAGGAGAAATACAGTAAAATTCACCTCTTCTTTCGATTTCAATGATATTTTGTCTTAGCTTTCTGGCTTTTCTACTTAGCTTACGCCAGGTTAATAAATTGTATCTAGAACGCTTCGACCTTGCGCGCCATACTTCATCCATGAACTCTGCTACTGTAATCATCAGGTCGTTATATTTGTTCATCCATCGGTGAGGATCTTCATCGATTTTTTCTCCGTTACGCCTTGCACTGTCAATTGTATAGTCGAGAAGACCTGCTATAGCAGAAAGTCTCTCAACTTCTTGATTCAACTCATCGATGTTGAGTTTGAAAAAGACAAGGTCCTTCAACAAGAGCACAGTCAATTTGGCCGTAATGAACGCCGCAGCAGTAATGAAAGCCTCCATACTTTATAATTGATGTCTTTCCATGTATTATTAGCTGTTAAAAAGTAGTGCCAAAAATGAGAATCAGTGTACGGTGATTAATGCAAACCATAGGAAAACTGAACCAAAAGAGTAAGGCGTTAGAGTTTAAAAGCGGGACTTAAAGATTATAATCAACCTTTCCGAAATACCGAATCTTTTCCTAAAAAAAAAACAGTTGGGGAAAAGGATGACTCTGCAGGAATTGGAAATTAACTCGATGTTTCCGGCCCGCTTATACCACGTTTTGCAAGAGAAAAGAAATCGCATAGTGAAAAAAAAAGAATTAAAAAAAAGTTAAAACTAGAACGTAAGGCTTGAAAAAGTGATGTGGGAGCAGTTCAGCATACCTGCAATTTCGATATCCTCAAAGATCTGCAAACATGGAACTCGGGAAGACAAGAGTATACAGGAACAACGGAGAGCTTTGATATATTGTTTGTAATGGCGGTGGAATTTTTTCAGGGAAAAAAAAAAAAGACGCAATCCAGAATTGACGATTGAACTTTCAACGTCACGATAGACAGATTCAAAGACCTCAGCAGCGCAGCGGAAAAACGGGTGGTTGTTAAAAAGAAGACGCCCAGACTTGCCAGTCTCTATTGGTCTGGAAAAAAAAAAGTTGCCAGTATTCAAATTAGACTAAAATATTATTGACCAAAAAAAATTAAAATATTAAATATTAAAAAAAACGTTTTAAATTTTTACACTTTACTCATACTTTATCTTTAATTTCTATATTTTTTTAATATTTTATATTTTTATGTTTTTATTTTTTTTATTATTTTAAGTTTGTCCAAAGCCTTTATTTATAGTTTATTTATAGAGAGACTTAAATTAATATAAAATAAAAATATAAAGATATAAAATATCGAGAAAAAAAAGTATCGAAATTAATAATAAAATACGAATAAAATATAAGTATTGAAAGTTATATTTTTTAAAATATTAAATATTAAACATTAAATAATATTTTAAAAACTTGACTTGGCTTATTTATCTTGGGTTTGTTTTCGATGCTTAGTGCTCATCAGCATGTAGTGTTTCTTGTTCAAAAAAAAATTTGGATCATCCAAATTTAAATTTGCATGGTCCAAATTTTTTTTAATTTCTATTTTTATTTTATATTTATGAAAATAAAATTTATAAATTTTTAAATAAATGTGTTCATAGTTGATATAGTACAATTTAATTTGAATGCTCTGATTAACTATTAAATTTTTTTATAATTTTTATAAATTAACTTTTTTTTTGAGAGAGGAGCAAATATATTAAAATCAAAATAACCATATGTATAGTGGGATCATTCTCCCAATATCTTTTTCAAGTACATGGAGATTACATGGAACATTACTATAACCTAATATGATAAGAATATACGAAGATTTAGGGTCCATTTGGTTTGCTTTCGTTACACGTTCAGAAAGTAAAATTTTACTTTTAGAATGTTGGAAGTTGTTTAGGTAAAATATTCTACATAAAAGTATATCCTGAAAGCATATTTAAATAGTAACTAAAAGTGAATTTGAGAAATATAATTATTTAAAACTTTTAAAAAGTAAGATAATATTTGACCATATTACCTCAAGTTTAATATCTTATTCTTTTACATAAAAAAAGTTAATAAATTAAAAATATAATTATCATTTCAATAATAATAATTAAGTATCAAGTTTTTGAATAATTAATCATGTTAATTTTTAGCATTAATGTATAATAAAAATTATAAATCTTTATCACATTTCCTAAAATTACAAATTAAAAAAGTACAAATAACAAGAGATCAAGTTTTTAACATTATAAATCAAATTTTATGTTATTTAAAAATCTTTATCACATTTTTTAAATATTTCAAATATGTTACATTTATATAATAAAAATTACAAATCATCATAAATCAATGTTCTTTTTAATAATCATACATTCAAAAGTACATTTCACCATCATAATTCAAACAACTTTCAATGTTCTAAACTAACTTTTGAAAAAATATATTCAAATATAAATTTTGTTACAACAATTAACTTTCATTAAATTAACTTTTACCAAATGGACTTTTGGCAAATTGAAAACCAAACACACACTTAGAAACGAAAATGATCAAAGGAAAATCTGTGGGAGATAAAATTAAGGGTTGGTTGTTAATGAATAGCAGTGCATAGCGAATCTCCTCCAAAAGCAAATGTTTAGTTTTTCCCCTTAATATATGTTACACCCGAATGAAGAAGAACTCCATTAAATGAGATGGACAGTTGAGTCTTCTGTAGAGCCTTTCGAACTGAACAATAGATTCTCAATCTTCTTTAGTGAGTTTTCTCCTTTAAGAGAGAGAGAGAGAGAGTGAGAGGTCTCTTCGTCTTTAACGTGAGAGTAAGTGAGTGAGTTCTCTCTGTCTTCTAGTGTAAGAGTGTGTGTGTTGTGATGTTCGGAGTTTTAGAGGTATGGAGGAAGATACGGTTTATTGTCCTCTAGTTTAGAAGTCTAATGATGAGAATGGAGGAGCTAGTATGATTTTGGCAAGGCAATTGGTTACAAATAAAGAATTGAATAAAGCAAGAACGATCTTGATGATCAAACGTGCTTAGAATATGTCAAAGGATCTTGATGTAATTGAGATCATAAGAAAAATTATATCTTTAAATGTGATTCATTTGAGGAGAGTTGGTGGATTCTTCAAGGAAGACCTTGGGCGATTGAGAATTGTCTTCTTAATGCTCAAGAAAAGAGGCAGTATGGAAATTTTAAGGATATCAATGTCTCAAGATCTCTAATTTGGATTCAGTTGGATAATATTCTTGCAAAAGTGATGAATGTTAGCAAAAAAATATTACTGGGTGGTAAGATAGGTAAAGTTGTTATGATTGAAGAGCCAAATGTTAATGGTAGAATGTTGTGATCATTCTTGAGGATTAGAGTTAATCTGGATCCATTGAAAGAGCTCTTACCTGGTTTCTAGATAAGGCAACCAGACAATAGTAAAGTGAGAATTATTGTCATGTATGAGAATTGTTGTAGTTATTGTGTAAGTATGTCAAAAGAAGAAGTCTCATATTACCCACATGAGGAAAGCTCTTAATGTGAGCTAATAGATGGGCTAGCATATGAGTTGAAGAGACACTGGGTCTTTTTACCAGATTTGTTTTGTTAAATTATTAAATTAATTTTGTCTCCTTGTCTTCTTGCAAAAATCACAATTTATTATGTTTAAATTGCAAGCATTTAAATGGGTTAATGGCTTTAAACAATATTTAATTGTCATAACCTTCTCAACTTTCAGAAAACGTCCAAATAAATTGACTTTATATGCTATTATGCTCTTTAAAACTAATGTCCAATAACTTTGCCAAATTCGTCCATATGCTATGCCTATATATAATCTAGGAATGCAATGTGTTTGGGGCTAAGCTCTTTAATTCTCAAGCTTCTCCTCTGTTTTGTGTTGCTAAGTATATATGCTAGTCTTTGTTGTTCTATGGCCTTACTTATTTTGTAGGATAAGTTTGTTTAATCTTGGGGAGCTATCGTGCAAATTATCTAGTGTGGCGAAATAGCTCTTAAGGACAATGTTTTTGGCATGACTCAAGACTTTAAGTCTACTCACTGGTTCTAACAAGAAACTCCATGATTTTTGTTGTCATTGTGGTAAAACTAGTCATGACCCTAGAACGTGTAAGGAGGCAAGGCAAATGTGTAGTGAAAATTGCTCTATTACAAGGTTTTGTCAATGGTTAACCATATAAGCTATGCAAACTTAGGATGAGGCATTGCTGATCATTAAATATGGTTAGCCTGAAACCAAACTGAAGTAGCAAAAGGTTGATTATGAATGTTGGGAGGGTTTTAAGATGATGTTAGACGCTCTTGGTAGTCAAAACAGATAGGTTAAGATGGGAAAGGATTTCAAGATTATAATGTCTAATATGAAAAAGAAAGTCTTAAAAGAGGCTGCATTTAATAGGTAAAGCAATAATGGGACTTTTTGCTTTGAAAAAGATGAATGATCAAAAAGTTTTGAGGTTGTCATTAAGGATAAGGATAAGGATTGGGCTTGGAGTACATAGTGTTTTCCTTAGGCCCATTTGCCTGTTGGGCTCTAAGAATTGATAAGAGAGATGCATAAAAGAATGTATCAAGATGGGCTACTGTTGAGGCTTGTCATGTTGATAATGGGAAAGGGAAGGAACTAGTTATTTTTAAAGATTCAGAGATTAAGAGATTGTTGAGAAGTTAGGTAATGTCAATCTCAAGAGAAAATAGGACAAGAAGGTGAATGTTGACAATACAAATAAAAGGAGAATTATTATGGAAGAAAAAGAGAAGTTGGTAGAGATCTCTCTTTTTGTTGAAGTTTTAAAGAAGGATTTATAGACATCAAAGAAGGGCCATCGGTGTGAATTTAAGGAGATGTGGAGCATGAAGAAAAGATCTTGTACTAGGCAGCTGAGTTAAGATGAAGTTACAAAGGTAAGTGGATTGTTTTGCCTCTAAATTTTTGAATGATGGTTTGGTTAGTTCTATGGTAGTTGAGGATATTGATGGCTGGCCTACAAAAGCCATCAAGATGTCATGAGGTTTATATCATGAAACTATCAAGGCTTAGAGGTACCCTTGGCAATAAGAATCTTAAGGATTCTATTAGAGAATTTAAACCCTCAATTACTTTCTTAATGGAAAATAAGATGAGCATTGACAAAATGAAGAAAATTAAAAGAAAAATGTGGAATAAATGAGGAATTTTATCTATAGCCTACAACATCTTAAATTTTAATCCCTGGATTAACTAAGCTTAATTATGATAATTGAGTAAATTGACATAGTGTGTGGCTAGGGAGGGCTAATGACTGATTTTGGTTGTGTTTTAGCCCTCATTATGGGTCTAATGTGAAGTCAGGCTACTTAAGCATCGAAAGGAGAAGAAAACAAGGATGAAGTGTTTATATGCCATACGCCACGACGAGCAATACATTCACCACAGCGCACAGATAACAACTAAAGCAAGACGGAACCTCTCTATAAGTCACGAACTAGACAAAAATAAAGAGAAAGAAGAAGAAAATAAGAACAAGTGACCAAGCCCTGTTAGGATTTGTATTTGGGGAGTTTTTTTGAATGTTTTAGAAGCTAAAAACACTAAAGATAAGAATCATACACCTTAATCTTCCATTCTCTTTCACATTTATGAAGTTTTTTCGTTAAGATTTGATAATAGGGAATGATTTTTTAGTCCATATAGGTTATGGATCCGAATCCATTGACTAAATGGAGTTAATAGAAATAGATTTGAGTATATAACCCTAGGAATAATGATTTTTGATACTTTTGATCGTTGGACATCATTAATATCCAAATTTAGTATTAATGAGGGTTGTTGGAAGGATGGCAATGTCATTAATGAAAATTTAATAGCTCATTAATTTTAATGGGGACTAAAAAAAGTTAATAAACCTAATGGGTAGGTCCAAACATAAACATTGTAGGCATTGAAAAATCTAGAAGTGGAAGATAAGAGTTGAAAATGAGTGGTTGATTGTAGATTGAGCTCTTGAA